CCATATGACTAGTAAAATAAAACATTAATTTGAGCTATTTTATCCTAAAATAGCCTGAGCTTACTGATAGTATTCAAGTCCTAAGAATTATGGGACATTTCATAAAATTTCCAACATACTGCACTATTTATTTTTATATACTGCTATGCTAAGGTTTGCCTTACATTTCCATATAAAATAAACAGATTTCTAAAATTCCTAAAGTGTTAATCCTGAGGTCCCGTTCTCACTTATAAAGCAATATATTCTTTCTCTAAAGAAGCTGGGTGTGGTGGTGCATTCCTATAATCCCAGCACCTTAGGAGGCTGAGGTGGGAGGATCTCTTGAACCCAGGAGTTCAAGACCAGCCTGGGCAACATAGTAAGACCCTTGACATGGTTTGGACTTGCGCCCTCACCCAAATCTCATGGCGAATTGTAATCCCAGTGTTGGAAGAGGGACCTGGTAGGGGGTGATTGAATCACAGGGGCAGACTTCCCCTCAGAGTTCTCATGATAGTGAATGAGTTCTCGAAAGATCTTGTTGTTTAAAAGCATATAGCACCTCCCCCTTACCTCTCTTCCTCCCTCTCCAGACACACAGGATGGGGTCTGCTTCTCCTCCATCTTCAACTATAATTGTAAGTTTTCTGAGGCCTCCCAGGCATGCTTACTGTTCCTGTATAGCCTGCAGAACTGTGAGCCAATTAAACCTCTTTTCTCTATAAATTACTTAGTCTCAGGTAGTTCTTTATAAGCAATTCGAGAACAGACTAATACAAACCTGTCTCTAAAACAAATCAATAAATAAAAAGGGTGATGTTCATAAAAACAAAAAAATTACTAATGAATATCAAGTATTTCAAAGACTTTAGGGGTTGACAGCACTCCTTTATTATATCTAAGTTCACTCTACTTTATAGGGCATTTTTCCTAAATGCAATTTTATCAATAGCATCACATCACTCTTATGCTATTCCATCATGAATGCCAGTAACCATTATCATCCGGCAACTACCTCTAAGTGTAATTTCTCTTCAAAAGAAAGAGACAAATAGAAATGTTATAATAATAGCTATTACTTATTGAACATGCTTCTACCATGTGCCAGCATTGTACTGGATAAAATAATTGTACTTACTCATTATCATTCCTAGAATGGAATATTAGGTAGCTAGTATAAAGGAAGTAAGTGCCCAACCGATACTGCTGATTATCCTAGTTGAGGACTTAAATAAATGTAATCATCTGTATTAAATGAACATTTTGATACTTCAGACTGATTAATAAATTCTACTCAGGAAAAGCTAACAATGAGGAGTAGCTGACATGAAGAACAAAAGTATCCTAGAAAAGATTCAGATCCATCAACACCTCTCTTAATTAATCCTTGTGTAAAAACAAAAAAAAAGCGAACAGCTTTAAAACTATTCTAATAAAAAGAAATGCTTAAAGCATAGTACCTGCTGATATGCTCCAGGTACAAATTTATTAAACAGACTATTCTCTGTGTATATATAAAATCTGAATAAGCTATAAAATTACTGTTATTTAGTGATAATTTCTGCATGTCACAAAGTCTAAAATTCAAAAAGCATCAAAATACAGTTATCCACATACAGCCTTGCGTATTTCTTTCATATTAAGTAATACTATCTTACATTTATTAAGTGGTAAATAATTCCCTAAAATTCCAATTTCCCACTTCAAAATAGGGTGTGGTCGATTTAATGATGTACTAATTCAGTCATTACTAGCAAATTAATTTACAATGTGAAATTTTTACTTTTTTTTTTTTACTTTTTACAATTTTTACTTCTACAACTCTACTGTAATTTTTTCTAGAGTTATGCTGACGTCCGGACTATTACTGTATAAACAAACATACAAACCATAATTGTTTCAAAAACTTAAAACAACTAAGGAGACAAAAAACAGTCTTTCAACTCTTACTTACTATAAATGAAAAATAATACATCTTTTTAAATTTAAATGTGATCTATAGTCTTAAGGCACTTTTTTCTCCTTGCTCTAGTGCTCATTGGTTTAATCCTTTTTCTTTCCCATTCCACTTACTTCCTCCCTCAAGCCATCAGCGCCAAAAGAAATGCTGTTAAAGAACAACATATCTGACTTTGAATTGTCAGTTTTCTTATTGTCATACTGCTATGAACAAAACACTAACTGTACCAGTATAAAAATGAAATGGACCAAAACTTAAAATAAAATAAAATTGATGGAAATGAAGTAAAAATCTTGGCTGACTCCATTGTAAGAGTAATCTATCATCAGCATAAAAATAAGTAGCATCTAGCTGACACTTCATTAATATAAATAACACAAATATGTAACAAATTGTATTATTTACATTGTGTTCCTGTTGCAAAGTCTTTTAAATATTTAAATAAGACCCAATATTTTTTGAATTATTAAAAATCAAACAAAATTACACCATATAAGGTAAATCTCAATTACCAAATTTAACCCCAACAACAATCCCAGTAAATTTCCATCAGTGTCCCAAATCTTAATGTTTAAAACACTGAACTGAGGTCAATTCACAATCTGGAAACAGATCTTAGTTTTAATTGATTTTCACACATTGTCAGGTGGTACAAATAAAACAGGACATTCCCCAAAATGTAGTAATCAATTCATATGAAGAACATCTGATCTATTTCAATACTTAAAGAGACTGGCATTCTTAATCTAAATCTCAAATAACTTAAAAATAGTACATACTACTACTCACCACACAACTTTTGACAGCCTTTTCCATTCTTAACTTTGTTGCCTTACTCTGTATCCAAACTTCTGTGGTTGATAACCCACACTTTTAAGAACTCATACTCTTCCCTTAAAAATGCCTGAGACTTGGCTGGCATCCTGTAATCCAAGCACTTTGGAGGCCAAGGTGGGCGGATCACCTGAGGTTGGGAGTTCAAGACCAGCCTGACCAACGTGGTGAAACCGTCTTAAAAAAATAAAAATAAAAGTTTTTTTAAATGCCTGAGACTTAACAGACACTGCCTAGCCCCACAATGTACAAAATAATTCCTTAAAAATGATATTACCTTGTTCTCTATTACTGAAAAATAACATTTTACTTAAGAGACTGTACATTTTTGTTAGGCCATATATCGGATTTCCAAAATACAAAATGTGAACTAAAGTATTACTAAAACATATTTTAAATTGTGAAAAGAACCTGATTTGAAATTACGTAAAATATAGTAATAGAAATATTATTTATTCAGCCAAATACTTATTTGATATTTGGCTTGACTTATATAAAAATATACACAAATGAGGTGTTTTTATACTTATATAAGAAACGCCCAATAAAACATATTTAATGGAAAATATATATAAATTATTCTGATAATACAGCAAATTATCTCATAGCATAAAACTACTTAGGTAAACTCTAATAATCAGAAGGCAATGGAGGCTATGGTTTTCCCTTTATCATAAGTCATTTAAAATTACATTTACTACTGGTACATACAAGTTCTCCCATAGCTTCGCAGATAGAAAAGAATATTAGATGACAAAGATCACAGAGTGTCACTATGGAACCATAACTTAAGAACTCAAATTCCAACTCTAAAAGTACCAAAACCCTTTAAGTCTTAAAAATAAAATTAAAGAACACTACAGAATGTCTCAATTTGTGAAACATGGGATGTAAAACTCATATGCTTTACAAAATATTTTATTCAACATATAAAAGATACATTCCCACAAAAACCAGTACCAAAGTCAAAACTGACTCACTCTTAAGTGAGAAGTTACTTGAAAGATGGTTTAGATTTCTTAGATTCCCAGGATGAGTCTGGCAGTCTGTTTTTAAAAGTCATTCTATTCACATTTACATATTTTTTTAAACCTTGTGACACTACATTGCTAGAAATCTTCTGATACTGGCAAATTGAATAAAGGTATTACATGTAGGCATTCTTGGATCAGTGGTTTGCCTGAGAAACTAACTTTGAATAAATTTCAAATCAAAAAAATATATATACATGACACAATCAGCACTTGAATTTTACTTCAGAAAAATAAAGCTTTACTTGGGACCAAAGATATTTTAGCATAAGCACTTTCCAACAATCTAAAATGGTTAGTATTCCAAAGGTAAAAAATACTGTTTGGCCAAAATCCTTCAAAAGCCAACATACCACTACTATAAACAGATCTACGTGATGATACATGCTTACTCCAACAGTGAACTAGACGTTAGAGTGCGCCCTGTATACCACAGGAGACGCTGAAGAACTTAAGCCAAGCAAGCCTTCAAGCTTGAAGGTCATGGTGCGTTTGCTCACATCATTGATCTATTCTACTACAGCAGGTCTTCTAAATCACATCTATATTTAGAAGAATGAAGCCAAAAATCAGATTTAAATTAAGAGTAAAATCTAACTTTCAAGTGGAAGCTGCCACCCAACATTCTCCATCAGCTACTAATCACATTTATGTCATTTAATCTTACAAATACAATTTTTGGAAAGTCCATGTTTAGCAGTTTCCTTTGCTTGCACTATACAGAGGTGAAACAAAACCCAACTGATCACCACCTTCAACTTCCTGTTGACCTAAGATAAACACAGATATTTTAATATCTCCTCCCATTTTGAGAATAGTTTCCACAGTCTGAATGTTTCCACCAATAAATACCTTTCAAATGAAGGGCTATTATATTGCCGTGTAGGCAACTATAACAAGTAATCCACTTTTGCCCATCACAGAATTTATGTAAAATCTCCTACTGTTGACCTAAAAACATAAGTTATTCATTGCCAAATTCCACATTAGCTAGGCCTTAAATCAAGGCGACAATTGAGCAGCACAGTTTTAGTCCTGGGAAAATATTTACCAGGAACTAACGGAAAATCTTGAATAACTAGTGTCTATTCTTTTACTGAATTTTTCTTTCATTACTGAATATACTCATAACTCTCTATACCAATTAAATCATAACCAGCTAGATTGAGTTTCTTGAAAAAATACAAACTTACCCCATTCTAGGTATTCGAGAATGTTCTTCTCTCTTCTCAATGGAGAATTATTGCATTCATCATAAAGGCAGATGAGTATATCCAGTAATGTCTCCACACTGAAGCACTGCCCATTGGTCTGAGCGGGCCCGTCCAAAATAAACTGCTCCAACTGCCTCAAACGCACTTCTCCAGACATGTTTGCTTCGGTTTCTGCTGGTTTTCCTTTAAATTATTATGATGATTTGTACTCTTATTATCTGAACCTAAATTTTAAAAGATGTGGTTTTAAAAACAAACCACTTATTCAAACAACTGTCATGCAATGCTGGTGCTGAATTAAACATCCAACACACCAGTAACCTCACTTAACTGAAGCGTCTTCAATTTCACCCTCATATTTTGAGGGTAAATTACCATAAAATATATACTTAATGCATTTCAAAAGAATAATACAATTAAATCGTATATTTAAATAAAATAATAATTAAAAGTACAACAAACTAAAGAGTCAACACTTCTTTAAAAAAAAACAACTCTTCATTCAAAATTCAACTCGTGCAACGTAATCCTGAAACGAATCCGGTTGCATCATTAATGAATAAAGTCCTATTTGCATCAGCAATTCATTTCCCGGGAAGAAGAAAAACAGAAAAGGGAGGAAAAAAACAGAATGCATAGAAAGGGGAGGGAAAACCAAAATGTTGCTGCAAATCCTCCCAACCACCACTTGGATAATTCATCAGCGGCAATTTCTCCAGCGGGAAAGGGAGGGGGCAAGGTCCCTGAAGCAGCCCCTCGGCTTGGAGCACGCCAAGTCTTGCCCGGAGGAGGCTTTTCGTTTCTCCCTCCGAGGTCTTTCTTTTTTAAGGCTTTGCAGTTAGTCCTATTTTCAACAGATTCCGGTGAAAACTCTTCATTTTCCTCCCGGCTTCTCCCAGGGGCCTGACCGGCTGCGCGGCCGGGGGTGGAAGGCGGGCTGCGGGCGGCACTGGCACCGGCTCCGGAGCAGCGGCTACTTGGCCGCCCGAGCCCGCTCCATGTCGGTGGTCGCTTGTGGGCCGCGCCGCGCGGGGCAGAGAGCCCGGTCTCCCCTACACCCGCACCGCGGCCGCCGCTCCGGAGGCTCCCGACGCCCCAGGCGAGGGGGGGTGCTCTTCTGAATTCAAAGGACACGGGCGGCCGCAGCTGCGGTGGCGGCGCGGGCGGCTCCGGCAGCTACTTCTCCCCCTTCTTCACACCCCTGGGCTAAGGGCATCTTTCCTCAGCGAGGAAGGAGGCGGCCGAGGCGCTGGAGGAGGGGTCGCCGCCGCGGCTGAGGAGACCAGAGACTGCCGCAGCCCAGCTCCCAACCACTCCCTTCCTCTCTCTCTTAAACCTCCCCCGCCTTCCCTCTCCTCTCGCGCTCGCGCCCTCGGCTCCGCGAGGCTCCTCCAGTCCCGCCGCACGCAGGCGGAGGCTCGCGGACTAGTCCGAATCCAATATGGCGGCCTGGCCCCCCGGCCCCGGCACACGCGCGCGCACACGCCCTCCCCGCCCCCGCCCCCGCCCCCGCCCCCGCCCCCGCTATGCCGGAGCCCCAGTCCCAGCCGGCGGCCAAGCCGGGCGGGGTCCGAACGGCGCGCCCAGTGGAGGCCCCCGAGGGGGCGCAGGCCCGGGGCGCAAGCGGCTGCGCCAGCCGGAGGGGAAGGGTGGGGACCGCCTTCGCGGCTAGGCTGCGGCTGCCGCAACGTGGAATGCGGAGCTGCGGGAGGGCTGGAGGAGGCCCGGGCGGCGGTGGCGGAGCATATGGAGGCGGGATGACCGGGCCGCGCCGGGCGCTGCCGCAGGACGGGGAGTAGGCTGGGAACTGAGCCACCGCCGCGCCGTGGCCGCGGCTCCCCGACGCTTCTCGTGCAGATCGCAAAGCGGGGTTCCTGCCTCGTCCTCGGAGACATCACCTGTCCGGCGCGTTTGCTAAGGGCGCCCAGAGCAGCGGGCTTTAGGCTTCTGACAGAGCTGGAGGAGACGGGCCCGTCTTTCCGCCCCTTACCTGCTCCCCACCCGCCCTCCAGATTCGTTTCGCGCACACTCCACAGAGTAATCATTTTTTAGGTGTCTGATAACAGCACTTCGTGTGTCATTTCCCGGGACAAAAACAATGACAGACTTATCCGCGCTACCATCGAAGTCTTGTGTCTGCATGCAAAGGATGGAATCCCCCATCTCCATTCCCAAAAGTTTCCCTACGGGAGCCTGGTGCTTTCTCCTCCGGAACTGTTCTAGGGACTGCCTGTTTTTCCCTAGCCATGGTTAACCGCCTCCGGTGGATTCAGCCTGTGAAGGCAGTTAAGGCAGTTCACCACTATTATCAACCCTACACCTCGTGTGCACGCGCGCACACACTTGTAACCCAGTGGCACAATGCAGGAATTAGGGCAGCAAAGGCAAATCACTGAATAGCTAGGGCACCTCATGCCTTTAGGGTCTTACCGGGTTTTTGTGAATCTCGGTTTTAGGAGAGCTCCCTTAATAAAATTCTCATGGAAGATGCCACATTTAAATTAATACCACCAAACTGGGTCATTGCAGTTCGGTTACTTCCTTTCAAAATTGCCATCTCCTTTATGGTCCTTCTCCAAAATACAATTATTTTATATTCTTTTCCCACACCTGTGAGACAGGTTTCTGTGTTAATGCCCACAATTGCATCTTACATCTTGATAATATGGAAGCTGAGGGAGAATAGAAATGAAGGCCTAGATGTAAAGTCTAAAAATGAAGGCTAACAGAAGACGATTCAAGTTGGGATTCACAAAATATTGTGAATCTTTTATGAAATCTACACTTGCAAAGTGTACACTTGCCTGGCTTAAGAACAGCATTATTTTGAATTCGGTCTTGACATGAGTGATACATAGATTCAAACAAAAGGTCAATCATTTCCAGCCATGACATCTTTATAGGGGTATGTGCTGTCTAATTCTAAAAGTAGTAGAAAAGCAAAAAGAAAAGTTTAATCCTAAAACAGATAATAAGCAATATTTTGGTGTTTATTAAAGTCTTTTTCCTATGCACTTTAACAAAAATGATACATAATAAAAGACAGTTTTATAGCCTCTTGCTTGCAGTTAGCAATATATTATGGACATTTTTTTTTTTTTTTTTTTTTTTTTTTTGAGACGGAGTTTCGCTCTTGTTGCCGAGGCTGGAGTGCAATGGCGCAATCTCGGCTCACCGCAACCTCCGCCCCCTGCGTTCAGGCAATTCTCCTGCCTCAGCCTCCTGAGTAGCTGGGATTACAGGCACACGCCACCGTGCCCAGCTAATTTTTTGTAGTTTTTAGTAGAGACGGGGTTTCACCATGTTGACCAGGATGGTCTCGATTTGCCGACCTCGTGATCCACCCACCTCAGCCTCCCAAAGTGCTAGGACTAAAAGCTTGAGCCACCGCACCCGGCCTATTATGGACATTTTTTTAACTCAACAAATATTCTTCAACAATATGGATTTTAATGGTGAAGCCAATGTTAACAGTTTCATTTGACTATAAGATGCAGTGGCAAAAAGGAAGAAATTTCTGCTTTTTCAAGTACAGTAAACTAAAGAACTGGCTCCAAGATATCTACTTTTCCAACTTACAAATAACTAGAAAGAAGTTTAAAAGAGAATGTTAGGTCTCAATAAATGCTAATTAACAATGGAAGAATATGAGATTTTTTTTAACAAAAGAGTCAAGCTGCCAGTTCTCTACCTATTCTATTAGCACTTGGGTACCACCCACAGTCCAGTGTATTGATAGTTGCTAAATAACCCTTTCCACATTATTTAGAAAGTAGAGAGGAGAATTTATTTTTATTAAAAACACACACACACACACAAAGAGAAGGAAGGAGGTTGAACTCAATCAATTTTGCTTGAATAATTCAAGCCCAGAGACTTAATAATTAACTAGACACTAAACACATTGTGCGGGTGTTATTTTAAATGTTCCGGTTGAAGTGTGAACCAGCTTGTTAATGAAACCAGTCTTAAGCCAAAGAAAGGTGCAGCCCAGCAGCTGTACAGTGCTTGAAGTGTTCCTGCAAAACAAGAGTGCCACAGGCTGCCTAGCAGGGTATTCTTTGGGGAAAAATAGCCTGGAGGAGGTCTTCTTTGTGAAATTGTTTGGGGGCCTGGAGATTAGATGTATATCACTGCAAACATCCAATTTGTTTGAAATAATCAGAGAAAGTTTTATGAAGATGCTGGGAATCAATCTGACAATTCAGGAAAGAAAGAGGACAGGAGAAATAACTAAAAAGAAGTTTAAGTACAGGAAGATAGGAAGGTGGAAAGAAGGCAGGACAGAAGTCATGAAGCCTAGTCCCCAGTACAAGCTCTCTTCAACTAATCCTCCAATTCAGGGCTAAAAGCAGGAGAATTAATCGATCAATTAATATTTCTAACAGCCTCACTCTCACCTTGGTATATCTAACTTCAGAATAACTATAGGTTCATTGTTGGAGAATGGAGCCAAAAACAAGGTGAGTACCACAGTAGGGCTTAATGTATAGCAGCACTGAGGATGTTTACCACATCTCCTGTTAGCCCAGACATATCCTGACTGCAAATGAATGACTTAGCTTAGTACCCTCCCTGGATAAAATGCCAGCAAATGCCTGTCCTCTCTTCATGTCAGGCTGCTGACATGAATGAGATCAACTGCAAGGTCTTACATATAAAAAAGAAACTTTGTTAATAATTGCTTCATTTACAGAACACTTAATCTGTAAACACTGTCCTGGGTAGTTTGAATTCATGTTTTATTCAATCATCATAACCATATGAAGTAGGGAAACTACCTCTATATCATAGATGATGGAAGAAGCTGAGGCTTAGAGACCTTAACTCGTGAAAGAACACACAGCTAGTAATTGACACATGAGCTACAAGTCACCAGGCCTGTCTCATGCCAGTGCCCATGGCTTTAACTACAAAGCAAGTGAGATCTGAACGATCTGCAGATTCTATAAACTCAATTCTTCCTTTCTGCTGTAACAAGGAAGAAGTGGGATATGTTGTTAATTCACATATTTGGGCATTAGAAATTTATATCAGGGTAAAAGACAGAACTATGCATATGATATGTCAGAGTTCAACCAGAAAAGCAGAAATCACCTATTTGTTTAAACCAGAGAAACTTTTTTTTTTTTTTTAAAGACAGAGTCTTGCTCTGTCTCCCAGGCTGGAGTGTACTGGCATGATCACATACTCACTGCAACCTCCACCTCCCGGGTTAAAGTGATTCTCCTGCCTCAGCCTCCCAAATAGCTGGGACTACAGGCACATGCCACCACACCCAGCTAATTTTCTTGTATTTTTGGTAGAGAACGGATTTCACTATGTTGGCCAGGCTGGTCTTGAACTCCTGACCTCAAATGATCCACCTGCTTCGGCCTCCCAAAGTGCTGGGATTACAGGCATGAGCCACTGCAACGGGCTGAAACCAGAGAAACCTTAATTCTGACACATGGTTCCATGGATGGTGGAAGAGCTGAGGAAATACAGGGCAAGTCAAGTGACACAGTTTGGAAGCAGCAGGAAGCTGCTCCCACTCCTAGCCTGGTGGAAGCTAAAACCAGGTCTGGTGGGAGATGGTGCCACAGAAGAGATGCAAGGGCTACTGGGGAGGCTGTCATAGGCAGAGAGAGGGAAGGAGAATCCTCTTACCACAAATCTCCTGCCATTTGCATCTAACACAAAACCTCTGAAAGGGAGGCTGCAGGAGTGGTCCTCACGGATACAGAGCAGAACAGGCAATGGGTAAGAAATGAATGTAAGAACAAACAGGCAGAATTTGCACACATATAATCGACACAGTTTCAGTTTAACCCAAACTCTAACAAAATCAATAAAACAAATGTTTTACCTCTGAACAACCATTAAGTGAATTTTGAAGTGGCATTATTTTAACATAGCAGCAGTTTTTGCCTTTTCCTTTTCATATTTGTCTTTTTTTTTTTTTTGTCCCTCAAGAAGTTAAAAAAAAACAAACCCTCCTTATTAGGGCAGGTTTACTTATTTATACAGACTAATAGTTCTATACTTGCTTGTCAATGGATCTTGTCCATCTTGCCCTATCTTTAAATTTATCATTTAAAATCTCTCATTAAAGCTCTACTATAAATGGAACTTTCCAAAATATGTTTAGAGTCAAACATTATAATACAGATATTGTTGGCTATTAGAGCTACTTAGCAACTTTGAACATTGCAAAGATAAGTGGCATTCTTTCATAAATTCCATCAGCAGAAAACATTCAATAAAAGACTGTATTGCAATGTGGGTGACAAAACTAAACCAATTAAGCCAGTGTGAACCTGCAGTCCTGAGGTGGGAGTGGAGGTGACGCAGCCAGGACCTGTAGGGGCTGGCTGCCAAGAAAGGGAAAGTTGAAGAATTCAGTCACCACATTCTGGAAATTGCTCTGGCCAAGATGTCAGTGACTTCCACATTACCAAAGTTAATAGGCAATCCTCAGTCCGCATCTCATTTGCCCCTTTAACAGTATTTCA